AATGTTTCAAATGTTTAGAGTTTGGCCACCTGGCAAGAAACTGTAAAAGCATTCACGATTCGAAAGGGGCGTGCTTCAATTGCGGTGATATAGGCCATAGAGCCAACGTATGTAAGAAGGAGAAACGGTGCGTAATCTGCTCCAGAAATAAAAAGCCAGACGTAAGGCACAGGACAGGCGGAAACGACTGCCCGTACTATATAGAGGCGATACAAAAATCCCGGACATCATGGAGGTCTTGCAGCTTAACCTGAACCACTGCAAAGCTGCACAGGAGCAATTGGAGCAGACGGTGATTGACCACAATGTTGACATAGCGCTACTAAGTGAACCATACAAGGTGGGTCAGCTATGGGCCCAGGACGATGCCGGTCGAGAAGCGGTGTGGAGCTGCGCCATAACGCCCCTTCATATGGAACAACTCAAGGCAGACGTAGGTTTTGTATGTGTTCGAGTCTCCGGATTAGTTGTATATAGCTGCTACATACCGCCTAGTTTTACCCTCGATGAATTCGAAGCCGTCATGGATAAGCTTACCTTTGATGCCCGGACTAGATCACCCGTATTAATAGCCGGCGACTTCAATGCTTGGGCCTTGCAATGGGGAAGCCGACGAATTAACGCCAGAGGGAGAGCTCGTCTTGCAGCATTATCGTCTCTGGATGTGGCAGCAAGGATGGGGTGGGGTCCATTATTGACCTCACATTTATCAGCAGCAGGCTGTTTCGACACACGTCCTGGGAGGTTAGCGACGAGTACACTCATAGCGACCACATGGCTATCATTTTCTCGATACAGGAGGAGAGAGAGAGCAGAAAAGTCAGTGCAAGAGCAACAACAGGTTGGAAGGTCAACTCTCTAGACGAAGAGGCGCTAGTAGCCATGATGTCTGGAATTTCGTTACCCTACGGAGCTAGTAACATGACGAACTACCTCATGGCCAAAATCACTCAAGCGTGCGATGCTTCGATGAAGAAAAAATACCCGACCAGCCGACGTGCACCAGTTTATTGGTGGAATGAGCAAATAGCGGACTTGCGACTGCAATGCAACAGAGCGAGAAGAAACTACCAGCGTGCCAGAAGGTCTGAAAGCTTTACCGGCGAACATGCTATATACAGAGCTAAACGCAAGGAGCTTAAACAAGCCATTAAGCTCAGCAAGCGAAAGTGCTTTACTAGCTTGTGTGAAAGCGTCCAAAATGACCCCTGGGGCTTAGCATATAAAGTTGTGATGAAAAGGCTGAAGGCGTCGGTTCGACCACAGGTATTATGCCCAAATAAGCTGGAGACGATAATAAAGGCGTTATTCCCAATGCAACCAAGTTTTGCGAGAGAAATCTTTCCTGCTACGATGTTCGGGTTTCCCATGGTGAGCACGGAAGAAGTACTTCTTGCGGCCAAGCGATTTAAAGATAAAAAATCACCAAATCGTTCGTCGATAGTTTTAACGAATGCTTTAAAGAAGGAGTATTTCCTGATGCATGGAGGCTCCAAACGGCTAGTTCTATTGCCGAAAACTGGGAAGCCACCAGAAGATCCCTCAGCATATCGTCCTATATGCATGTTGGATACGACGGGCAAGTTGTTCGAACGCATAATCAGCGATAGACTGCTAGAAGCAATCGAGGAAAAGGGAAGCCTCTCAGAGACACAGTTCGGCTTCAGAAATGGGCGGTCAACAGTAGATGCAGCCAGTTTAGTAAAGCAGTTGGCGGAAGATGCAATCAGTGGCGAAAGGTGGAAGGGAGGAGAAAAGGAGTACTGCTTGCTTGTCACCCTCGACGTAAAAAATGCGTTCAACACAGCAAGTTGGAAACACATAAACGCTGCTCTACGCAGATTCGAGGTACCCGCATACCTTCGCAAGATTGTAGACAACTACCTAGCAAATAGAGTGCTACTGTACAATACGGAGAACGGTGTCAAAGAACATAAAGTCTCGGCTGGAGTACCACAGGGCTCGGTTCTGGGTCCAATACTTTGGAATATCATGTACGATGGTGTACTCCGACTATCCTTGCCAGAACGAGTGAAAATTGTCGGATTTGCTGACGACATAGCGCTAGTGGTGGTAGCGAAGCATCTAGAAGAAATAATTATCGCAGCAAATAGTTCAATCGTCCAGATCCAAGCATGGCTGCCCGAAACAGGACTGGAACTTGCGCACCAAAAAACCGAGACAGTTCTTGTAAGCAGTAGAAAAGTCAGAGAAGTGGCGACTATAAAGGTTGGTCAACAAGAAATTACGTCAAAGGCGGCCCTAAAATACCTAGGCATAATGTTTGATGCGAGGCTTACCTTCAAGACGCACATTGATTATGCTGTCGAGAAAGCCGAAAAGGTGGCAGGGGCACTAACAAGGGTTATGCTGAACGTAGGAGGCCCGAAACAACAGCGTAGGCAGCTATACGCAAGCTTCGTGCACAGTGTGCTGCTCTATGGTGCACAAATCTGGTATGAAGCGTTCAGCAAGACGTCATATGTACGAGAAGCAAGGTCTTTGCACAGATTTTGCGCTATCAAAGTATGCAGTGCATTCCGAACTACGTCCGAAGAAGCAGCACTAGTGGTGGCAGGACTCTGCCCCATTGACATTCTAGTGGAAGTGACAGGCCTCAGGCCTATAAACCGAACGAGACGCGAAGAGGTGACACAGAGGTGCTTGCAGCAATGGCAAACGAGGTGGGACCGCGCAGCCAGCGGTCGTTGGACGCACCGCCTCATATTCTCGATATCAAGGTGGGTAAGTAGGGAACATGGGAAGTGGACTTCCATTTGACCCAAATATTGACAGGGCATGGGTGCTTTAAATCATATTTATACCGATTTAAGCACGAAGACGATCCCTTCTGCACATTCTGTGCAAAGGATATTATTGAAGACGCTGAACACTGCTTTTTCGTCTGTCCGAGGTTTGCAATCGAAAGGGATGACTCGAGCAGGAAGGTGGGGAGGCCACTTACGGTTCATAACCTTGTGGATACTGTGCTTGAGTCAGAAGATAACTGATCCGTTGTTTGCAATTTGGCAAGCACAATTTCATCTAAATTGCGTCGAGCGGAACAACTCTGCAGAATTTCATAGATTGGCAATAGGCCGCTCCTCCTAAGCGAAGCAATACCTTACGGTAGTTCCACGGTGGGAGGGAAACGGAGCAGGGGTGGGTTTTTAGTGCGGTGAGCTGAAAGGCAAGTCCCACACTTTTCGGCTTTCAATGCTTTGTGCCACCTCTACAAAAAAAAAAGATACACAATATCACATGTATATATAGTGAAAATTCGTCCTTGTCCGTGTGTGTGCGTGTGTATGTTTGTGTGTAAGTGTGTGTGTGTAGTAATTTAGTGACTATCTACATACAAAACGTTAATATAGGGGATTATCTTAATCAACAATATATTTCTATGCTTCCGTTTTCAACACCATCAGCATCATGGTTTGTAGTAGCTCTGTAAAACATAAATCAATTCATAAACTATAATAACATGAATTCTGTGTGAATTTCATAAGATTTAAATATATTACCTCATGAAAATTCCTTGAACTTCTTCTGGAACATTTATAGTTTCTTTACGGAATTTCAAATGATTTTCTAGGTATAACAGTGATGTTTTAGGATCCGATAAGTATATATCTCGATTAAATACATCTAAAATTCAAGTGCGCTCTGCCCAATCCACAAGAAAGGCGACCCCGCCATGCGTGCCAACTACCGTGGAATCAGCCTTCTAAGCATAGGTCTTCCGCGAGAAAAGGATCGACGCTTACCACCTATTTGTCGACTTTAAAGGTGCTTTCGACAGCACTAAAAGGTGTTGCCTATACGCCGCTTTGTCTGAATTTGGGATCCCCGCCAAACTGATACGAAACTGATACGGTCGAAAAAATTACAGCCACCCCACATAATGAGAAGTTTTCACAACTTTTTCTTTATTTAATTTTAGTTTTTTTTTTATAAAAATATAGTCTATTCTTTAACAAAAACAATACCAATCAAAGGCTCAACCATTGAGCAATATTTAAAAAAAATTAAACAAACTCGTAGAAATTACGAGCAAGTACCTTTTAGAATTTATCTGCCCTTCGAAAACATTTTTTTGAGAACAAAATTTGTTTTTAAAGGGTACATAAATTGTTAGAACTACTTGAGAAAACGGCCCTTAGAAAGATTTTGAGGACCTATGGAGTTTTGTAGGAACTCTGATTAAAAAGTAACTTTTTTCGGGACTATTAGGGCACTGTAGAACTCTTAATTTCTTGTAAGTTGGTCGTATCAGAACTGTTTTTGCTGAATAAAGGCTTGCGCGTGAAGTTAGCAAGCGATTTTTGCTTTTTAGCTTTTCTGGGTTAAATTAACAAAACTATTGAAAATTTGGTTGGGGAAATGTAGACCTATTGCCTTGGTGTCAGGAACTCTGATTAAAATGTAATTTTAAAAATATTAAAAAATTTAGTGTAAAATTTAATTTTCTGTTTTTTTTCAAAATTTCGCGGAACTTTTTCCGGGACTATTGGGAACTGCAGGACTCTTTATTTCTCGTAAGTTGATGGTATCAGAACTGTTTTTGCTGAAAAAAGGCTTGCTGCATGAAGTTAGCAAGCGATTTTTGTTTTTTTTTAGCTTTTTTGGCTTTAATTAACAGAACTATTGAAAATTTGATTATGGAACTGTATAACTATTGCCTTGCTTTCAGGAACTCTGATTAAAAAGTAACTTTAAAAAAAACTCCTGCTAACTCCACGAGCAGTTCAAACGGTTAGAAAAAGCAAAAATCATAAATATTCTCTATACTAAATTTGGAGCGTCGTATGCTTATGCCAAAAAGTCAAATATAAAAGTGTTGCACATGATTCAATTATTAAAGATTTTGTAAGTATCTTTCTTCTGAAATTTGACACTCCCACCCACAGGGATGTTTATTGAGAGCAGGAGGAAATGGGGAAGAATTCAATCACCTCCAAAAAGTAGCGAAGTTCCACAAAAAGGTGTTCACAAGAGTGTACGGTAGTATTTGCTTTAATTATTTAATTAAAACCAGCTTATTTACATCTAATATAAACTCTGATTGTTACTAAAAATAAATATTTGTATGCAAATACATATATGTGCGTACGTCAGGCGGCGTATATCTTGAGAAGGGATGGTCCAATTTGAGCTGTTTTTCTATTGTTTTTTTGCCTTGTAAATTCTTTGCGGTACTATTTACGGTTGATGGATATGAAGAAATTATTTGTTTGTGGAAAAAATATATAATTTTGTTAAAAAAAAGACTCAAAATAAAAACATTCGGCGCTTACTTTTCTTTCGCGGTTATGGCGATTGCTTCTAATATGGTTAGGCGAATTCTTTGATGCTGCACTTTTAGGGTTAGTTTTTCAGTGCAAGTTTAAACTTAGGATCACGTAAACTGCGTTTGAATTGACTAGCTCTAGCGGTTAATTTAAGTTTAAACCAAAGCCGTGCACTGGAAAACTGGCCTTTAGTGTTCGTGAGACATTATACGGCCGATCAGAATATAAAACAATGGCTAACACAGTCTCGATTGACGATTCGTGCTGGTTGAACTCAGGAACAATGAAAAGGACATGCAGCTACGGAACGCGGTCTACACCGTCAAATGAGAAGTTCCGTAAGTGTGCAATTACAACATCCCGCCAGTGACTAAACCGAGCCCATGAATATTATATTGCGTCAAAGTCTCATTCGGAGACACAAGGATTGTGCTGTGTAGGTCAGTGCGAAATACCTTCCTTGACTCATTTACCAGAACCATTGCGCGCTTTAGATTACAGAGAAATTTGCTGAATCAATAGGTCTCCACGAATCAGCGTTGCCGTTTTCAATTCATTTAATTACCCAGAAAGAAATCTAAATTACCCACAAAGCTTTGTATTATCTTTTAAAATATATAATTAGGGGATTTTCAACACGTGGCAACCGTCGTAAAATCTTAAGCTTAACAGTTTTTTATGTAAAATAATGATTAAAATGGTTTTAGAGGATTTTTAACTACACCGAAAGTTTTTAAAATTAATTTTTAGTGAATAAAAAAAAATCATTAGATGAGGTCAGTTCTTTGAACTG